TTGGATGTTTTACTATCATACCCTAAACTGATTACTACCTTGTAGAACCAAGACTTTACTTTAAAAGAACCTGTCTGACGACATAAAGTAGGCTAAAAAATCGGAAACAAATCATTATAGAAAAGTTTACAATGAAGTTTCTGGGTTTTGTGATCCCAGAGAATGGCAGTGAGAGTCACTACATTATTTTTGCATGAAACAGTGATGAAACAACCAATAATATCTAGGGAGGAAGAGACCAACAACTTATTTAAGAGGACATAAACCAAGCAAATATAGCATCTGCAGCTCTGTAGGCCCTTTCCATAGTTAAAGGTATAGTGGAGGATTTTTAAATTTCTAAAAAGACCCATCCTCTCCAATAAAAAAAATGCACACACACAACCCTGTACCCGCTCAGGAGAGGGAACATCTATTAAGTCTGATTTATATTCAGAAACCAGGTCGTCTGCGTGTGTGTCGCAGTTAACACAAATGTGCCCCTGCCACAGACACTCTGCTGCACCTCTCCAAAATTGTAGCTGACCGCAGACAGTGCCGCAGACAGGAGGCATCTGACTGGTCAAATCTACATCTGCTCTACACTAATGCGTGTTTCCTGTTTGGTACCTTCCAGTTTGTTCTGTTTGTATGACCGCCATTGTGGAAAATGACTGGTGAAGTTGGACCAGCTAGAAGAGCGAGTTGTGCAAGAACGCTGGGACCCTTTTTCTACCTCGATCCCCGCTATTTTTTGCCCTCATGTCCTTCCGTTATCACACAAACTTGCCCCCACTTCCTCACCGCCTCAGCCATATCTAGACCCACAGCTAGTTCTTGATTGTCCCTCGTGTTGTGTCGTGGAATAACATAGCACAGACCGTGCTACAATACTGGGCATAAATCAAAAATATCTGCAACAAGCTCACTGCGACACACTGCTGCAGGGAGTATAACCAGCCCTTTAGAGAGCTCTGTTCCTGTGAATTTGGATTGTCCTTGATCCACAACAGTGATGTTACAAACATTTGTATGATGTAATGATCTGATGAGTCAGGCTGTGTGTAAAAAATGCTTCTTTAGCTATTATTCTTTTTTGAAGAACTGAGCCAAGCGCTGTCATCTGTCATCCAAGCCATTTCTCTGGTCTATGATTACTATTTCTGTCAGAATCTGCTGTCATGTCTCACAGTAATTTAATAAAGAATCCTTATAAAGTGTTATTTAAAGTGTTTGTTCTGAGTGATCTCTTCTCAGAAAAGAATCAGGAAGAGAAAGCTTAAAGATGTAAACATAGAGCTCTATGTCGGCATCAACTGACACATAACGTATGTGCATTCACTGATTCATTAGTGCATTAAGCAGCCATGCTTTAAGATCACGCCAAACGCATCCATTGTCGCTTTGCAATCCCTCGTAAAGTTTAGGTCTGAGTCTTGTCTAACATTTGTAATCATTGCATCAATAATCTGTGGCACAGACTGGGGAACTGGTGTCAAAATAATTGGCCTTTAAAATCCATTATCAGTCGATCTCTTGTTGCTAGAACCAAGTTTTATATAAGTCTATTTACATTGCAACACTTTATAGTAGAAAATGAAATCTGTTGTGTAATTGTAGTGTGCTAGCATGTCTAATTTCATGAATGTTTAAATATGTGTCTGTAAGTCTGTGTGGATGGAGTTAATAGTCCCCAAGGAGTTTGCTAATCAGATTCTCTCCCTAACAGCAAGATGACTCATTACTAGTTTTTTCTTCTCAGGCTCCTTCGAGTAATGTTTCACACTCCATCAGTCCAAATACCTTAGGAAAGGTCATTAATGTGACTTAGTGTAACCCTGAGTTTTGGGAACAATTCAAAAGCTTTCCAGTAACTTGTTTAGCTCTGTCTTTATGATTTATCTTTTGAAATAATGAGGTCGTTACGCAACAAAAAAGATTCTGTGTCTTATAAAAATGTATAATTTTTACACTGTAAGGTGCACAGAGAAAGGCCAGGTCCTCCCCTTCCTCACCTGTAATTGCACCTGTAAATATGCTCCAACGCTTTCATTTTACTTACATGTTTTGAGATTTAAACAAAAGTTACTGAGTCATGCTTTATAGACTTTTCAGTCAGTGCTTCATAGACTTTTCTTTTTTTAACATGTATGTAAACACCATAATCCTGCAGTATTTTAACTCAAGGTTATCATACAAAAATTGGTCAGTACTTTAGAGACTTGTTTTTTTTTCAACATATCAAGATGATGATGAATTTATCTCAACATGCAAATATAGGTAAGAGCTTTCCGATGCAAGCAAATATATACCGAAAATAGTTTTTCTGGCTGATATCTGATACGAATATCGCAACAGTCAATAAGTTCCTAAATATTTTTCAAAGTTCAGCTTTTACATTTAGCTAGGTGCTGCCTATTTTATAAAAATAAAAAAATGTAAAACTTAACTATGTTTTTACATGCATATCTGTGTGACGATGTAAGTATACCACGTTAAATCACAGTATACTCGGAGTTTCCTGAAAGTTAGCTTTTCCATCGTGGGGTTTGAAATCCTTTTATACCAGACCAAGATTCTCCCTCCTACTGCTGGGCACTGCCAGCCAGCTGGTTGAGAGGAAGACTGATGCCTTTTTTTTTTGTATTTATAAAAAAAAAATGTTTTTTTTTTAGATTTTTTTTTTTAAACGCTTGAAGTCATGATGTGGAAACCAGAGCAGTGGCAGCAATCACCAACTGTTCCAAAACTATAGCTGTTAAGCTAAATATCTGAGTAGTCAAGCTAACAACCAGCTACTATTAACTTCATATACTTATTATTAGCAAAAATCATTCATGCAGTATATAAGAACAACATTTACTTGAAAACATACATACTTAAAGAGTGTGTTTATTGCACATTTATGGCCCACACTTTAAAAAAAAATCCAAACAACAAAAGATAAACCTAATAAACATTTTAAGTTTAATTATGGATTTGTTGCTTATGTCTTAAATAATGAATACATATCATAGTACTATTTTCAGATATGTCACTGGCTTTTTGAAGTATAACAGTGAAAAGTGAAGCATTCTGTTATCCTTGGTACTTAAAGTTTAAAGGGCCGGTCTTGTGTCTAGTCTTAACCATGAATGCAAGGTAGGATGGAGCCATGTTTTTGTTTTGTTGCCCATTATGCAGATGACAGCAATACTTAGAGCAGGGGAAAAATTTTCCAAACTGTGTCCTACTGTTAGATGACAGCTACCTTGTGTGTTCTTCTGCTGCTACAGCCCATCTGCTTCAATGTACCACATGTATTACAGTACATTCAGAGCATGCCATAACTACAGTAGTAGGAGGTATGTTTCCTTTCTATTGTATTGAACCAGTCTGCATACAACTGCTGCTCAAACGTTGAAACCATAAACCATGGAGATTGTTGTGTGTGTGGAAAACCCCAGCAGATTCTTAATATTTATATCAACACAGTTCAGTTCAGTTAACTCAGTTAAACTTGTTTATATGGTGCTAACTCACATCATACGCTCTCTGTCTGAGCAAGTCACTTTGCAGGATTCACTCCTCCTTGATAAACATGTGGCAAAAGTAGACATTCACCTGCACTGTATCATTGACCCTACAGCAATCCCTCACACCATGCGGCCACAGTGGAGAGGACAAACTCCACTTTAACAAGAAGATACCTCCAGCAGAACTAGGCTCAGTGTTGTTGTCCTTCTTTCAGGGACGGGGGTTCAAGAAGACAGAAGCACACACACTAAAGGAATTTAAAAGCATAAATCCATAAATAGTTTTTAATGTTAGAAAATATAACTGTAGATGCTCTGTCTAGGAAACAGTTAAACATTGGGCACCCACTCCCTCCCATGTTGAAAGTCAACTAAATTAGTTTTCTACCTGATTCCTGTGGTTGGTTAAAACGTTAAAAAGTCTAAATTATCAAATGCATTGGGTTGGAGTCTTGTAATTAGGTCACTCACAGAGGCTGTGTCCGTATGTTCGCCCTAACTCCCATATACAGGAGAGCACTAAATAGGTATTTTATGTCCGAATGTCTAGTGGATAAAAAGTCTAGTGGATAAAAAGTAATGGACATCTGTCTGAATGGTCAGCTGACTGAGTGCACTGGAAAGTCCAGTAGATAGTCCCCACTCTATATAGTGATTGTGGCGTTAGGGTGGACTTTCGGACACAGCCAAGGTCTTATCAAGCACCTGAACAGGTGTACCTAATAAAGTGGCTAGTGTGTATCTCCTACACGGAGAAATATATATTTTCTGTGCTGTTGAATGATAAGTAATTTGTCCTTGGCAGACAGGATGTTTTAGCTCGGCATGCCTCTCATTAACCTACCCACTCAAACCAAGACCTCAGTGTTAATGAGTGAGAGGGAGAGAGAGACAGAGGTGAGCGATAACACAATTTATTTCACTCAGAGTCTTTAACATTCATGTGGGATGCTTTAGCTGATTTTTCAATTCATTTACAGACAGACAGCTGTTTTTCAGTAAACAAATGAAATGCCTTGTTTATATTTGGATAGTGTTGATATTGGTATAACTTTTTATCTTTCAAACCCAAAGGAAGGGTGGAAAAACAAAGGCTTCACTGGTTCTCCTAAGTATAAAATGTTTTCTGTATATAAAAAAATCAATAAGGATAAAGTCCATTTGGATGTAAGGGAAACGTAGTCCTAAATAAGTGAAACCCGCCCAATTTACATAATCTGAGTTTGTGCAATTGCTAGATTGCGCCATGATTATGGAGTGATGCTGCTGTTACAGGAAAGATGGTGACACAGCAATGGGAGAGTCATTTTCTCCACCTGCTTGCTTTTTAACATTAAACAGTTCCAGCATATTTATTTTAAGGCTCCATAAATCTTTGATTTTAAAATCCCCCGTCATGACTTTAGGCGTGGAAATTTCATTTATTTATTTATTTATTAGGCTCGACATGGTGATGATTGTTAAAGCCGCGCGTTGATGGAGCCAACAGAAGGAGAAAGTCCTCACCTCCCACAATGGCGAGCAGAGCCAGCATCAGCAGCAGCCTCCAGCCGTCCGACATGGTGCGCGCCTGGAGCCCGGAAAGGTGTTCACCCGGATGGAGAGGCCACCTACTCCACGCACGCCCCGCAGTGTTGCTCCCCCACCTCCCTTTCACACTCTACCTGGCATAATGACGTCTGCCTGGGCTATGTTCTCCTCTTCTTCCTCGCCCTGATGAGGAGGGAATACTAACGCAGAAATGAATCCTCAGTGCGGTGCAGCCAGGTGAGCTGTGCGCGGCGCTTGGAGAGGAGGATGCTGCTGCCGACCGACGCGATCACCGCTTAGATCCGACGCGCTGGACAGGCGTGGGCGGGGCGCCTGGAGGAGCAGGGAGGGGAGGATGCACCTCCAGAGGCTCCACATCAGCGAACCATGCCAAGCAGCGTCTTTCCTCTCTCATCTCCTTAAAATATTAGGCACGAACAGAATGTCTATTATTGACCTTCCAGTGACCTTGTCAGAGTAGGTGGCATCTTCCCTGTCTGACTCTTTGCCTCATATTCATATCAGCCAGGGGCCAAATACGTTATCTTTTCAATTTGTCTTTATTTTATTCTTTAATATTCTTTAATATTTGGCAACACTAAAAACTGCATTATAAAGCATAGAAAAACATGTTTTCTTCTGTATAAAATTACATGAATCCAAATGTTTCTATGAGATATTTGAATTTTATTTGCGTTTAGATTTAAGCAACTACTAATTGAATATTAATATAAAGAGCCTCCTTCAAAAAAAAGAGCATTTCAGTGAGATCAGGAGCACTGCAAAAGGATTCATAGCCCATATTCCACCATCAGTCGCTATTTTAAGGAGCCAGTCTTTGGTTCTGCTACAATACAAGTACTTAGAAAAATGTTTCTATAATTGAAAGTATGTTTCTAACCAACTGTGTTTCTAAACAGGAGCCAACAGGGGCCAGTTATCCTGTAGAACTGGTCTTGGCCCCTGCCGCTGAACTGAAAACATTCAACTGAATTAATTTCTTATAATGATATGTGCTGAGAGAAGATACAGTAAATGTTTCCCTTAGCCCAATACACTTTTTTTTACCTATTCTTTTTAACAATTATTTAGAAATAAAAGTGTGTCACTTTAAGCTCCAGTCATAGTTGGTGCTCACTTGATAAACTGAGCAATGCATTATTTCCCTGTTTTTTTGTGTGTAATTCTTTTGTTATGTGTCCTCATAAAAAAAATAAAAAAAATAAAAAAAATAAATAAAAAACCCTAGCCCCCTCTGGTGAACTTGGTCTAGGACCACCACTATCTCTACCCGCCCTTCACATCTAGAAACCAAAATAAATCTCTTTTTTTGCCAAACCAAAAAGAGCTCCATTCTCCGTTGTCCCTCCATATGGAGTTCTATTTTTTTTAGCTCTTATTTTCTTTTGCTCAGCAATATAGGCGGTTTTAAGCAGGGGCTAACAGGGGCCAGCGCCCTTGGAGAACTGATCCTGGCCCCTGTAATTAAAACATACCTACACTGCAAAAGATTTCTTGAAAAAGACTGTATTTTGCCTCAATTTGAGCTGATAGATAAGACAATTTACTGACGTAATAAGATGGTCTCAATTTAAAATAACAAAAAATTCATCTTCTTATTTCAAGTAGTTTATATGTAATTATTTTTAAGGGAAAAATAACGTTTTCTTTTGTAATAATCTTATTTACCTGCTCCTTTAAGGGAAGTTTTTACATTTTAGATTACTTTTGCTATGTCATACAAAATAAGTCATATTATTAAAGACATTGAAAGAATGGACTCAATCCAATCTTAGATCTTGTTTTGAGATTTATATGCTTTTTGTTATGAGTATATCTATCTTGATTTCAAGAAGTCTAACAAAGTGCATTTGCCTCACTGCATTGGCAAATTATTGTATGAATCCTCAAAATCAATCTTCTCTTATTTAGTTTTTAGTCTCCATATGAAAGCCTGATTAGATGGACATTTTTTGCAGCATATAAATGATGATAATTGACTTGGACCTATTTAATCATTCACTTTTACAATTCACATTCAAAATGCAGTCACCTTAAAACTTCAGCCATATTAAGATACATCCAGGTTTTCATCATCATTATATATATATATATATATATATATATATATATATATATATATATANTATATATATATATATATATATATATATATATATATATATATATATAATGATGATGAAAACCTGGATGTATCTTAATATGGCTGAAGTTTTAAGGTGACTGCATTTTGAATGTGAATTGTAAAAGTGAATGATTAAATAGGTCCAAGTCAATTATTATCATTTATATGCTGCAAAAATTGTCCATCTAATCAGGCTTTCATATGGAGACTAAAAACTAAATAAGAGAAGATTGATTTTGAGGATTCATACAATAATTTTCCAATGCAGTGAGGCAAATGCACTTTGTTAGACTTCTTGAAATCAAGATAGATATACTCATAACAAAAAGCATATAAATCTCAAAACAAGATCTAAGATATACATATATGTTGAAAAAAATGATTTTTTTTCCACTTCACAGTCATAAATAACAGTGTGTTGGCTTATCACATTAAATCCTGATTTAGCTGTAATAGGGGAGTGTCGGCCTAGTTGGTGGCAGCAGTGTGGTAGTGCGCTTAGAAGGTTGCAATTACCCCATTCGATCCCCACAGCCTCCACTCTGAGCAAGACCCTCAACCCCCGATTGCTCCTCGGGCGCTGCACAGTGGCAACCCACTGCTCCCCAAGGAGATGGGTTAAAAGTAGAGGTAAATTTCTCCAGTGTGAGATCAATAAAGTTCTATCATTATTATGACAAAAATAATGGGAATTCTGAAGAATATGACAAACCGCGTTTCCCTGTGAGTTTTGTCAAAACGCCTCTGAAATTATCACTACGGTCTTTTCTTAGAGTTGAGTGTTAAGAAGTGATCCAAAAGGATGAAGAAAATGGAAATAAGAGGCTGGGAGAAGAGATTCGGGTGTCAATACTGGAACTGAGACAGGATAATTATAAAGGAATGAGATCAACAAAGAAAATGTCATCAAATTAAGAAGATTACAGGACATAAGAAAATCCAAAAGAGGAAGTTTACGGAAGGGCATAAGGGATGCATAGACAACATAAAAAGGGAGTGGAGGGGGATCCAGCGAGGAGGCAGTTGCTGTGGTGACTAAGAAAAGGTCTACAAAGAAGCAGCCTGTTTCTTCTTCATTTTATCTATTTTTACATACACACACACAGAGCATACACATGTACAATTAGGACATGCTACACACTAGTGAATAATGTCAATTTTCCAAGACATACACACATATCTGCACAGAGGCTAAATCTTCCACAAATTCCTCTATGCCATCTTTAAACTGTCTCTACAATCTCCTCCTTTCTTCATCTCCACACCCCCTCTGCAGTGAATGAGCTGACCTGACAGTGCTCCTCCCCTGCACTGAGTGCAGCTAGTCTCCCCTTGAATTATTAAGAAGCTGGGACCCCCACAAGTGCTTGTCTTTCCCTAACACCCACTCACACTCCTTCTTTCTCTGCTTTTTTTCTCTGTCCCTTCCTGCCCCGCTGTCATTATGTCTTCGAGTTGCCGGGATTACTTCCTATGTCTCTGTCACATCTAGGAAACACAACATACAAATCTGATCCTAGATCACAGCTCTAATGAATGGAGTAGGATAAATAAAGTAACGAATAGCTAAACAGAGTTTTGAGGATTGAAGATTTTCTTTCCCTTTTTTGCTATTAATTTTAATCTTGAAAAATAACAAAAAGATTAGCAGTAAGGTGAATTTCACTAAGTTACTTCCATTGGAAATATTGAGAACCTTAATAGTGCTAAATAAATTGATAGCAGAGCTCTGAACGTATGTCCTAACTGTTCAAATAGACAACATTGCTCACTGCCAAGGGCGACACCAACATGAGACTGGCATTGCTTTCTTTAGGTGCAGTCATTGAGTGAATAGTTGCCAACCATGATTCTGAACATCATAAGGACTTACTAAATCTAGCATTATTTGAATTCTGTTAAAAGGTCAGCCTTTAATTGTTCTAAATTGAAGAGCTTAATTAAAAAGAATATTGAGCTCTATAGTATCTTTACCCTTTCTATGTGAATATCCAAGTATGATTAATATTTAAATATATACTAGCTTTATAAAGCATAAGAATATTTTCAAATACACAAATTATTTTTATTTAATGCCATGTTACATTTAGAAATGCTAAGATTTTCTACATTAAACAATGTAGAAATCCTTAGCATTATTTTTGTCATTTAAATTTCATATTAAAGAGGTTTCTAGAATTTCTTTCATCTCTGGAATATTGCCAAAAATAGAAATATCCTGTCCAATGGTGATGTCCATGCATTTGTTACTTCAAGACTGGACTATTGTATGGTAAATCTCTACTATCAGCAAGTCCACAAACTGTATTTAAAAGCCTTCAGCTGATTCCAAAATGCTGCAGCCAATGAAAGTTAAAAAGGTAGATCTCCTTTCTTAGTTATCTTCATTTGCTTCCAGTTAAATCCAAAATAGAACGGAAATTCTATTTAACATATAAAGCCCTAAATAACTAAAATCCATTTTATTATTACGGTATACTATAGATCTGCGGGTTAACTAGTGGTTCCTAGAATTTCTTAAAGTAGAATGGGAGGAAGATCTTTTAGTTATCAGGCTCCTCTCCTGTAGAACCAACTACAAGTTTTAGTCTGTGGGGCAGACACCCTGTCTATTTTAAGGCAAGGCTAAAAACTTTCCTTTTTGATAAAGCTCATAGTTAGAGTGGCTCATGTTGTCCTCAACTATCTCTATAATTATGCTGATATAGGGTTAGGCTGCTTGAGGACATACTGACCACTTTTCATCATTCTGCTACCTTCTATCTCTATTCTCCAATTATGCTGTATATGTTGGTTAAACCCTACCTTTGTGTTCTATCTTTCTTTTTTCTCATCATAGTAGCATCATCTGGTCTGTTCATTTTGGGCTCTCTTCATCCTGGAGAGACATGTCCACTGGGCTTTTGCCATCAACAGCTTCTATTATAGATGACAGGGTTGGGCCTGTTTTCTTTCTTGCCTGTACATTTCTATGAACTTGGCTTTTACTGTGACTAACTGTATGTGTTCCCTTTCATTCCTTTGACATGAAAACTGACTTAAAGCCTGTCTGCTTAAGTGTTTCTTTCCTAGACAGAGTTGGCTATGGAGCTAATTTTTTCCCTTACCTTTTCTAACATAGAACAGTGCTTCTATTTTCTTCTTCTATCTCTGCCTCTCTCTTCTTGAACCCCAGTCAGCCTTGGCAGAAGGCCGCTCACACTGAGCCTGATTCTGCTGGAGGTTTCAAACTTTTTAGAAGGGACTTATTCCACTTCACTGTCCACTATTAATGTGCACGATGCATACAGAAAAAAAGGTAAGATATTTCTCCTCTTGCACTGTTGAGTCTATAAAATTCAAGGTATGACAGGCCTAATCTAATTTGAGCACAAAATAAAATCCTTATGTAACATTAACAACATATTACCTGTCTGTGTATGTGCAGGTGAGTTTCATAAACTATCTATCACAAACAGGGGATCAGTTCATACCCACATTAGGTTTTTGTATCGGTATTGAAAAGTGTTTTTAGTTCTTTTCTGCTTCCACTCATAAAGTACTGTTATAAATCATTGTTATTCTACAGCTAAGATTACCATTTGGTTTGCCATCTTAACTATTTTACAATATACACATGGCGTTATAAGATTTTGCCAGTGTTTAATCTTTAAAACTAATGTACATTTTCAGAGTAATAATCTGGCATGCATGTTTTTTTTTAGTCCCATTAGGGATGAACAGGCTCCATGTGAATTGACAGAAAGCTGTCCAAGAAGGGCCAAAATAAAACAGCACTGTGGTGTGACTGTTCTACAAAAACACTGCATATGCTCCCTATGTGAGATAAAAAGCCTTCAGATTACATTCTCACCAAAGCAATGTAGAAAAGTTGCTTCTGCTTTCGTGCTGCAGTGCTTACATTAGCTAATACTTAAACAGAAACAACAATAAGGCATTTATCCTCGGCTATGGTACTTTTTGTATTATCAAAGTAATATCGGTTTAGAAAACAACACTTTTGGTAACATGTCCGCTCATAAGATGTTCTGATGGAGCTTGTGCAAAGTCCCACAATAACTGGGGCTGCAGCTCTTGAAGACCCTACTTTCTGCACTAATGCCATCATGTGCTGTATTTCTAATGTTGCAGCTATCTGTTCTTCACTTCTTATGCTGTAAAAAGAGGATCAGATGCATTTAAGCAACACCAGGATCATTTCTCTCTGTAAAGTTTTGTATATTTGCTATGGAGTCAAGTTGCTATACCCTTCAGTATCCACAGAGAGGGGCTGTTAGAACAATTTGTAAAGCACCCAAAGCTTCTAGCTTGTTTTGCCCTAATTTGTCATTTAATTAAGAGAACATATCCAAAACAGACAACTGTTGTGTAACCTTACAAGCTGTGACTCGCTGAGAAGCACAGCACTTAAGATATGGAGCATCTCTTGGATGGTAAAAGGGTAGGCTTAAGGATGAGCTGAAACTAACCACTTCAGATGTGTTTGTTCTGGGGGCAGTCTTGCACTCTGACCCTCCAAGGAGGTGTTGCACAAGCGGTGAAGCTATTTAAGGAGCTGACAATAAGAGGAGCGAGCCACGTTCTTCTGGGTGATTTCTAGCACCCATATCTCTTAATGCAGCTCTTCATTCACAAACCATGCAGGTTTTTCTGTGTGGGACCTGCGTTGCTACTATGGCTACAATTAATCATAGCTATTTTAATACTGCAGCCTGTCTCTCCCCCCTCTTTCTCCTCCCCTCTCCTCCCCTCTCTCGTCATTCCCTGTAGAGATGGTGCTACCTCTCTACAACTACTCACCATGGCAACCTGGTAATCCCAGTACAGAAATATTCTCACTGCCCTTTTCTCTTTTTTAGAGACAGAGAAAAAGAACAACATGTTCACAAACACTCTCTCACTCACACATGGGTGCACAGAGTCACGCCTGCACAGTCATGCACATGCTCCATTAGAGATGCTCAAGCAACCCAGCGCACTGGTGTTTACTGGTAAGAAACATACAGCCACAAGTGCATGCTTTAGTTGATTGCTTCGTTCTTCTTGTCTCTTCATCTGCGGTTTTGGTAACAATTGAAGCATCTTCCCTAAGAGAGTTTTTTTTTTCCTTTGAGTCTGTTTGCACTCAGGTTTGTTAAAGTTGGGTAAATATGAACCTGACAACTTCTGCATCCCTATTTCGTTCAAACATGTGATCAGAAAATGTGCTTCTTTGGTGCATTTGCTCCTATGATTAATCCACTCATTTAGCAAATGAACAAAAATGATAGAATTTGAAAGATTTTAAGTTGTTTTAATTACACGTTTTGAAAGAAAAAAAAATTGGATTTTATAGAGATCAAATGCTAAATCTTGCTTTCAATGACTGTAGGAGTCTCAATTAATCTAATTACCTTGAAGTGTGGTCTCTATAAATCACATAACAAATCCGATGTGGTCCAAGTCAGGAGTTCCTGAATAAATGTGATATATGTGGCTATATTTATTTATACATATAAACAGAAGAAATCGTATTAGATTTTAAACTGATATTTTAAATATTTTTTGTCATCTATTATTTTGCATGTAATTATAATCAATCAATGGTAGATTTAGATGTACATTTTACAATTTAAAAGTGTATTTATTGTTTAAATAATGTGTTTAATGTTAAGTTTATTTATACACAGTGCAGACCAAAATTTTGAACACACCTTCTCATTCAATGAGTTTTCTATATTTTCATGACCATGAAAATTGTAGATTCACACTGAAGGCATCAAAACTATGAATAAACACATGTGCACTTATATAGTACTTAAAATAATGTGTGAAATAACTGAAAATATGTCTTATATTCTAGGTTCTTGAAAGTAGCCACCTTTTGCTTTGATTACTGCTTTGCACACTCTTGGCATTCTCTTGATGAGCTTCAAGAGTTCGTCACCTCAAAAGGTTTTCACTTTACAGGTGTCCCCTGTCGGGTTTTATAAGTAGGATATCTTGCCTTATAAATAGTGTTGGGACCATCAGTTGTGTTGTGCAGAAGTCAGGTGTACACACAGCTGATAGTCCTACTGAATAGACTTTGTTAGAAAAAAGAAGCTAAGTAAAGAAAAACGAGTGACAATAATTACATTAAGTAATGAAGGTCAGTCAGTCTAAAAAGTTGTGTCCCCCCGATGTCCCCAAGTGGGGGAAAAACCGTCAAGCTCTTCAAGCAAAAAACCATCAAGCTCTTCAAAGAAACTGGCTCACATGAGGACCGCCCCAGGAAAGGAAGACCAAGAGTCAACTCTGCTGCAGAGGATAAGTTTTGAAGGTAACCAGCTTAAGAAATCGCAAGATAACAGCAGCTAACATAAGAGACCCGGTCAATGCCACACAGAGTTCTAGGCGCAGACACATCTCTAGAACAACTGTTAAGAGGTGACTGCGTGAATCAGGCCTTCATGGTAAAATAGCTGCTAGGAAACCCCTGCTAAGGACAGGCAACAAGCAGAAGAGACTCACTTGGACTAAAGAACAGAAGGAATGAACATTAGACCAGTGGAAATCTGTGCTTTGGTCTGATGAGTCCAAATTTGAGATCTTTGGTTCAAACTATCGCGTCTTTTTGCGACTCAGAAAAGGTGAACGGATGGACTCTACATGCCTGGCTCCCACCGTGAAGCATGGAGGAGGAGGTGTGATGGTGTGAGGGTGCTTTGCTGGTAACACCGCTGGGGATTTACTCAAAATTGAAGACATACTGAACCAGCATGGTAACCACAGCATCTTGCAGCGGCAAGCTATTCCATCCGGTTCATGTTGAGTTGGACCATCATTTATTTTTCAACAGGACAATGACCCCAAACACACCTAAGGCTGTGTAAGGGCTATTTGACCCAGAAGGAGAGTGATAGCGTGCTGCGTCAGACAAAATGGCCTTCACAATCACTGGACCTGAACCCAACCAAGATGGTTTGGAGTGAGCTGGACTGCGGAGTGACAGCAAAAAGGGCCAACAAGTGAAAAGCATCTCTGGGAACTCCGTCAAGACTCTTGGAAGACCATGTCAGGTGACTGCCTCTGGAAGCTCATCGAGAGAACAGCAAGAGTGTGCGAAGCAGTAATCAAAACAAAAGGTGGCTACTCTGAAGAACCTATAATATAAGACATATTTTCAGTTGTTTCACACTTTTTTGTTAGGTACTATATATTTCCACATGTGGTAATTAATAGTTTTGATACCTTCAGTGTGAATCTTCAATTTCCATAGTCATTAAAATAAAGAAAACTCTTTGAATGAGAAGGCGTGTCGAAACTTTTGGTCTATATATTTATATATATATATATAAAACTGTTTTCTCACCCCTCGTGGGGTGGTATGTGTCATCCTCAAGCTCGGGTCCTCTACCAGAGGCCTGGCAGTTTGAGGGTTCTGCGCAGTATCTTAGCTGTTCCTATGACTGCGCTCTCCTGGACAGAGACCTATGATGTTTTACCTGGAATCTGCTGTAGCCACTCTCCCAGTTTGGGGGTCACAGCCCCCAGTGCTCCAATTGCCACTGGCACCACTGCTGCTCTTACTTTCCACATCTTTTCTAGCTCCTCTTTCAGCCCTTGGTATTTCTCAAGCTTCTCGTGTTCTTTCTTCTTGATGTTGCTGTCGCTTGGGATTGCCTCATCTATAACTACTGCCATCTTCTGCTGTTCGTCTATCAACATGATGTCTGGTTGGTTAGCCATCACCAACCAGACATAAAAAAAATGCTACTAAAGATATATATATATATATATATGATTGCGTCACAAGAAATACCAAGAAAGTAAATTTTCTTGCATAAACAAAGAGAAGATTACCAAAATATTGTGTGTTAGTTTAAGTTTGCAAGTCCTTTACGTGGTGTGCAAGAAAGAGGAAGTTATAAAAGGCTTATTCCAGATTCCCAAGGAGGCACTTCATCACAAAACTATGGAGTGACTGAAAAGGATCTTTCAGTTTCCACATCAGGGGAAACATGCTAAGAATTATGAAGAGCGCCAAACTGAAGTCCATGAGGTCCCCTGTTACCATTCAAGCATCCTTTGCTGCTGATTTATGACACTTTATCTTCATAGGCAAAATTAACTGCTTTATTTTCTGAGTTAAAGATTCAAAACAATAACATACAATCCACATCATAGTGACATTCTTTAAAAAAAAAAAAAAACAATCAACATCCAACCACGTCTTTTACGTGTGTGCTAGGGTATTGGGGTGTCAAGTCTTAACATACATTCCAGTATAAAGTAGAGGTTCAAATACATTAGACAAAACAAAACCAGCTCCCCTACCCCCAAAAATGATAAAAGATCAATAGTAATTCAGTAACATGGCTTCTTGGATACAAAAACAAAGCATGTTTATAAAGTTTTAAAACAATTTAACATTGTAGTTGTAGCCTATTTCCTGTCTTTAAGTTATACCAGCCAATATTATGTTGCATCAAGAAGGACTCTTTTCCTGCATTTCTTTGTCATCCTAGAGCATGTCTATGTTGTATTTTCAATCACATGGTTTACTTATTTACATTTTCCTTTTAGACTTTATTTCAAACACTTTGTTTCAGAAGTATTTTAGCAATAACATGTGTCAAAACTGTTTTCTGACTTGTCTGCGATTTTATGAGAACCCAATAGTTTCACTCACTCTAATCATTTAATCAATAATAGTCTCTTCTGACAGCCTAAGAGGCTGGAAAAAGAGTTTCAGGAGAGATCGATAGGCTCATTCACAAGTCAAGATACCTGTGCATGCTCTAATCATGTAAACTGGCCTTATAGATGTGGCCTAACTGTATATGAGTCTGATAATCAATTATGTTGTCACCTTTTCTAGAGCAGCCCAGTAGGATATTACACAAATCTTATTTTCTCTATATATTCTTTCTTCTCTACTTGATATAATTGTTCAACCAAAACTGTGATTTCGATTTCCATGACCTTGAACGCCTGCCTGTCCAGAGTCCATTGTGGCAGGATTTTACTGTTATGTGGAAAAGTGCTAACTTTTTCTTGCACGCTTAGATCTGTGTGCTAATTGCAACTCTCTCTTCGGTGTGTAGGCGAACCCACAATGTCTTACTCCTGTGAAATGTAATGTGATCAAAATTGAGTGTGTTTTTCAAATTTGAAAATTGTATTTTGAAAAATTGCAAGTATATTGAAAACGCAAATAATTTGCTAGCCCTACTTTATATATTTGATTTAATATCATGTTGAGATTTGTTTGTGTTATAAGGGATGCCTGCTGATGTACTGTGGATAGTAGATCTTCTGTAGAAGATGCAGATGCGCCACAGTGGAAAAATAAATTGGTTCCTGTTCAGCCTCTGTATGCGTGGAGAGTTTTAGATCAATGATTTCATTTTTGGCAATTTTGCAAAAGTCAGCACTATATACCAGGATGGACTGAATGAACTTGTCTGACATTGACCACTAGATGGTGCACTGATGCAATGCAGACCGACAGGCAGACAAGATGGCTTATAAAGCACAATATCCTACAGTTTGTTCACATATTTATTAAAGGGCTTTCAGGGGGTCTATGTGCATTTATGTCTGTGCAGAGTCATGTGCAGTGGCCCCTCTTTTCGTGTTTCAGTGCTGCCGGGACACTGGGTGCTGCAAGGTCATGTGCTCTGCTCCCGTAAAAGGCAGTCTGTGAGAGCAGTAGTGATAGACCAGTTCAGGGATGCTGGAAAACACACAGCTGCTCTGATCCAGTGTGTAGCCCAAGCCCTTGCTGCTCTTAGTCTGCGCCACAATGATGTGAACACAAGTTTGACTTGTCCTGATGGAAGAAAACAGAAAGAAAAAAACAAACCTATAAATGACATATATGTAAGGGGGGTGGGGGTTGGGGGGGACTCCAAAATACAGTGATTGTGAACAACAAAGCCTGTTTGAAAGATCATCACTCCTCTAATGAGGCGGTGTATCTCCTGAGTTCACTGAATGGTTAAATGGGGTTAATGAGGTGGACTCCCAAGTGTATGAGCAGTGTACAACAGATGTGCACTGAGGCGCATGAATATGCACTATTACTCAAATCACACTAATTTATCATGCAAACAATGGTATTGTTATAATTCTGAAAGGGTGAAAAAAGTAACAAAAAATAGCGAGTTTTCTAATTAATCTGATGAATTGTTAGAGAAATCTGTTAGTGACTGAATTGGATAAAATTTTCAGCTTCACTTGCCCCAACTAGTCAGAAACCATTGTGTTTTCCACTAAGTGAATGCTTCACAGCTAAGCGCCAGATAGCAACAACACTTTTCTGTGCTATTAATCAAGTTACACATATTCGCCACTTATTTACTACAGACTCTGCTGTTTTTACCTAAAGAAAATGACTAGAGATGCACTGAGAAGTACACTGGTGATTCAACAAATTTTTTGCTTAATAAGAGATAACATACATTGATAAAAAATAATACATTTTTTTCACTAAGTGAATTGTATTGAACATTTTTCACTTAGGGAAAAAGCTAAATTTATTAGGCTTTACATCTGAAAACTGTTATTTAATCAATTAACTGTTAAGTACGTAGAATTACTATTACAAAATGAAAAATGACTGTTTAAAATGCATTTTTTTTAAATAGCTGTCAAAGAGCAGCATTGTTTCTTTGTATCAAGAAAGTCCTGGTTTGGATTCCTGGCCTAGTGTCTTTTTTACATGGTTTGCATGTTCTCCCTGTGCATTAGGGGGTTCTCTCCAGGTACTCCTACTTCCTCCACAAACCAAAACATGACTGTTAGGTTTACTGGAATCTGTAAATTGTGCTTAGTTGTGATTATGTGTTTGTGCATGATTGTATAATTTTGTCCTACAATGGAGTAGCCACCTGTCTAGGCTGTACCCTGTCCTTCACCCGTAGGTAGCTGGAGAGGCTAATGATCACTAACAGCACGAAAACTAAAAAACTGAGTTTGAATACATCCTTAAATTGTTGAATTAAAACAAAACTGAAATCAGCTGGAAACAAAAGATCAGAGCTTTACCTGGATATTGGAAGTTAGACAAAAAAATTCAGATGATTTTTTTTTCTACTCATAATATTGTTTATAAAGGAATAAAAAAGATTCAAATCACCACATTTGGAAACAGAACACTGCATGCATGCATTCATTCAGTATATATGCATATACTCACTTCAGGGCAATGGAGTATTTGCTAGTCCCTGATTCACTGTCTCTCACCAAGAAACTGGCTTCCCTGCAGCGCTGCAGCTGAGCCTCAGCCTGCTGCCGACTCACACTGCCATGATACCAGCTTGGAGGGAAAGAGATGGAGGGGAGACAGTAGATCACCATCATATAGCACAGGAGCAACCTGATCATGACTGATCAACAACTGCTGATAAGTGATTTTGGATAGAAATTGTTACTATTTCTCTTCTGAAGTCCCTAGAAAATTTGTTAAAGAGTATTGCTTCATGAACAGTTTAAAATGTACAAAGAAATTTAATAACTTAAAACAAATCATCATTTAGGAAGGATAACGTTTTCTTGCATCTTGGCACCAAACACCGTCGGAGGAATGGTAAGGGAAGTATAAATAAACTCACAGTTAAAGAATTGCAGCCAAAAGTGGCATCATAAGGTCACTGGGTAACATTATCTAAGTGCAAACCAGTTGTTTGGGATGCATTGAGGTAAAATCGTAGTCAAATATAAATAAAAGCTGATTTGTTAATGTTATAGGGGGGTTAACTGGTTGTTCATATATAAAAAAAAAAAAACACTTTCTGATTTTTCTGGCATGCAGTGGAGGAGTTACACTCCATGCAGTGGAGTAGGAGTTACGTGACCAACGGAGCAAAAAGCAGTGATCAGAACGGTCAGTTAACTGAGTTTGATAATTAATCCACTATATAGTCCCCGCTCTATATAGTTATTGAGGGATTTAGGGGTTAGAGAGGACGTTGACCCGTGAGCTTGTATGAGCTATGAGAACCGCAACTTTTAAACAGAGCGTGCACAAGGAGAAATGGGCTTGTGCATGCTCTCGCACATGCATTTTTTTTCCAAGTGGTTTTGAAAATCCTCCACAAAACCTTTAAAGTCAGAAAATCATTAATCAATCTAAAATGTTGTGGTTTTGTAATGCTATGGATATATGAATTGTCAAAACATTTAACAGTTAAATGTTTAAAATACTGTACTGAAAAATAATGAGAATAATAAAGGCCTTGTTCTATAATACATGTCATATTTATTTGCAGTTATAAGATGACATCACTAAAGCTGGATTTTTTTTCCTTTTTTGGTTGGATAAATATAGACAGCAGGGGTCAGCAAAAGGCATTATAGATGTTTGTCTTGAGTCCTTCTTACCTCTGCTTCTCTAAGGGCAGGCTGCAATCCACTTTGGCCATCTCCCCATCCAATGGGGAAGTAGGGGAGGTAGGGGATGGAGGAGACAGTTTAGTCGGACTGGAAGAGGGTGAGAGTGGTGAGAGCTTAAGGGTGGGGAAAGAAGGTGACGGTGAGGTCAGTGGGGAGAGTTTAAGAATAGGTGAAGAAGGAAAGGACGTAGAAGATGAGGTTGATGCAGTGGGGACAAGAGCTTTGTGGCTCCAGTTCCTTGCCCTCAGAGTCTGCTGCTGCTGCTCCTGACGGCCTGAGGTGGGAGCATTCTCTTTGCTGGAAGAGCAGTCCACTCCCTCAAACTGTGCTGAAAGGCAGCAGGACAGATAATATCAACATTTGATGAAAAGTCCTATCAAAGCATGCCAGGGACAATAAAGTAAACATTTCCCTGAAAATCCATTCAGAACATAGTTTTGTTTCCTCTCTAAAAGCAAACACAAAGCTGTTGTTTAAAACTGCTGTATAAATGGCATTCTTCCTCCACACCCTGGTCCTCCACCCTTCCTATCACCCCTGCCGCCTTTCTCTACCTGACAATGCTCTGACAATGTCCTCCTTTCTCCACTCCCAGGGCAGTTCGTACTCCCCGGCCGGACGGACATCAGACTCTGGTCGTGTGACAGGGATCCACACGCCTTCGCTGTCGCTCTCCAGTCCGCCTTCATAGGGTGTGTCGTAGATATTAGGGGGTGAAGGCATTCCGTCCTCTCCCTTCCCCTCTTTTTGACCTCGGTCTAACAGTACGCAGACTTTCAGGAGGTCTTTGGAGCCACGTCGACGAACATCTGCAACAGAAAAGAAATGTATAAACTCTTTGTCGTAGGTGCTGAATTTCAAAAATTTCTCCGCTGGCCAAGGGATATTATGTCATTTTATTCTTGGTATTTGAGGCTGGGCTTAAATAGTAGCTTTTACTGGGTGAAATGGTAATACTACAAAAAACTTCAATGAATTTCATAAACAAGAATCACATGCACTGCTCTAAATTAATGGTCATATTCTTCTAATTCTGTGATAGATTGCTGAATTGTACATGGGCCCTAGACATCCAGTAACACTCCACGATGATTGGTCATAGCAATTTAATAGGTAGATGGCTATTCTCTGATCCAATCAGACTCAAATTATACATGACTGCTTAAAAGGAAACAACTTAAAGATACAAATATTTGATGAGGTAACTGTACCTTGATTTCTCACTTTATAGCTATCAATAGTAGGTTTCTGGATATCTGACTACTGTTCTTGGCTGGACTTTATTTAATGCTTGAAATTGTGCTCTGTCTTCTACAAAGACAATTTTAATGCGAGCTGGCTACCTACTCTGTTGGGACTGCCACTTGTGTTCAGATTTTAATCATCTTATTGGTTTGAGCAGAAAATGATTACTTTTTGATGTGGTTTTCAATTTGTATTCATCCATCTGCTTTGAATAATACACCAGAAAAAAACAGCTGAAGCTTCCATCATCCCATTTTACAGCGAGTACAGCATTCTAAAGTTTGAAAGACGCTCATTGACTTAACTCTCTCACATTTCATTTTGCAGTTGTCAGGTCTTGTCTTGTTTGACCAAAAAACTTTTTTCTGAATGGTATTTGGTTTATT